ACTGATTGGTCCAGTCACTATTTATGTCCACGTTTCTTCAGTAAGGCGACTTAAATGATTGCACCAGCGCACTGCGTTGTGAGCATCACTCTCTGGTAGACACTGCAAAGAGTGATGCTGACAATGCAGTGTACCCATACATGTAATGTACATGTGATTCAACCAAAGAACCATGAAAGGCATGAAAAACCAGCCTCAGTGTTTTGTATTTAATTGGATCAGCAGTTTCAATCAACAATCGGTGTATAACATTGAGGTTTTATGCAGCTTGGAATGACATCACAATTTTGCTCATGAATATTGATATTCTCAGCATAAAAACCAATAAGCATCTGAATACCCTTTGAATAGAGAAACAAAATTTACAAATGAGGCAGATGGTATATCGAGACACAAAACTACATTTTAAAAGGTTTTATTTAAAAAACTGGTCTTCATACATGCAGTTGCAAGCCTGGATCAAATCCTTAGTATGTTTCAAATGGACAGCTTAAGTTTTGGATGGGAAATGACTTGTACATGTATTTCGGTGCACAAGGGCCTGTAATTCTGTATTTACATTTGGGTAATTCAAGAAATTAGGGGTCCATTGTTTTTGTGTCCCAGTCACACTAACATATGATTTTGTAAATTCAGCACACAATTTCTAATTTCCAAGAGTGATGAATTAATGCAAATTGCCTGACAAACAAATACAGTAGTAATAGTTTGAATTAATTCCAGTGATATTTCCATGTCAAATAACAAAGGTCAGACGTAACAGGGACACGAAAATGTCACACTTTTGGACCCCTAATTTCTGGAATTACCCATTTAATGTGGGAATGAAAGCATAATCAAAGAACACAAACCAACTGATAAAGCAGTTGAGTTTTCCAGGTCAGTTCAGCTAGCCGTCTCAAATCTGTTCTTTTTTTTGGGGGGGGGCTGTTGGCGCCAGGACTCCAGGACATTGGGTCAAGGCTAAGCAGGTCATGTTTAATTAAATATGGGTACCGTAGTTCCAGTGAAACCAATTCAAAAAGTGTCTTTGTTCCTGGGATTTCCGGTTGATATACAGCATCTGTAGAGCCTGCTACTACATGTACATTGTAAATTGGGGCTAATTTTGGCATTGGACGTACCGTAGTCCTACTGTGGTGTGTAGACCATTCACCAACACAGGTCCAGCTGATATACATGTACATTCATGACAATTATGCATGTATGAGTCCCAAGCTGGACCAAGAGAGGGCGCAATTTTCCTGGCACCGGAGGCTCCCATGGTTGGAACTGCACTGTGTTGATTCCTGAACGGCAATGAAATGCATGCATTATGGTCTGGTCACTGCCAACAAACTGAACACCCCCTCCCCTACCAATATGGCTCTTTTCAACTGATGAGGGGGTGCTTCTGCTCAAAGCGCATTTTGGTCCATCTGTACCTTCATCATTTTGTTGCTGGGTACAAACGATATAGCTGATGCATCTGACTAAATTCAGTTTGTAGTTAGCCTCCATGAGCTGTAACTCGCTATACTGTAACCAAACTAGGCAATATGAACAACTATGACCCAAGCTGGATATGTGGTGCACTCTGACTGGGGTCAAAGGTCATCTAGTAGTTGGTATGCCCAGTGGTCGTTTTATTGAAATTTACTGTTTCTCCCACAATCTTTATCGAATAAAGGCCCAACTTGGTCAGTGAATGTCTATACCTATCCAGGTCATTTTATGAAAATAAAAGAGCAGCAGCTTGTGTACATTCTAGTTCCCGTATAGTGGTCAGTTTGGTCAGTTTCTGAAAAACTGACAAAGTGGCTGAGGGGTCTCACTTTTTTCATTGATTTGAGCCAAAATTGGTCAGTTATGGCAGACCTCTTCAGCTTCACATGCACTGTTTGCAGATTTGGGGCAAAAGGTCACATGGGGATCAGCATGTTGTTATTTACCAAACATGAATAAAGTGCTTTGTTTCCTCACTTTTTCGAAACTTAGAGTTGGGGGGTCTCGTCAATTTTGTACGGGCTGTTTGCAGATATGGGACAAAGGTCACCTAGTGGTCAGCGTGGTCATTTTCATGCAAAACATGGAAATTGCTTCATTTGATCCATATATGATTAGTTACAGCCTCTGAAGAGCACCTGATTGTGTCTCTGTAAAGGATCGGTCAGCCAGAGGTCAGCAGCAGTCATTTCCTGACTTTGATAAACATCCCAAGTGCTATGAACTGACCAGGGCAATATTTGTTTAGTTAAATCAGTGTGGATTTTTGATTATACACTGTGTGTGTAGAGGAAAGTCAGCAGTCTCCAAATGACCAGCACCACCATCCTGCTCTAGTTTCAGTTTTATGTATTTTTTCTGACTTTTTCTGAGATTTATTATTAATCAAGTTTTTAGTTATTATTAGCTTATTAGTCGAGTTGCTGAATTGACATGTATTTTGGAAGGATGTTACTTCTTATTAACAATTTACTGCACATGTTGCCCAGGGAATTATCCTGTGCTGATGGATAACACACTGAATCTGTCAAAATTGAACATTTTGACAGACTCATGATTACACAATCCATTCTAAGGTATATGTAATACATACCTGCACGTGTACAATAACCTGGTACGTTCCCATTGTATGGTTAGTAGACTCTTTGTGCAAGATTTACAAAGAATGTGCCATTCGCGTGACTTTACAGGTAGATGATTTTTCTTGGAAGAACACAGTACTGGTATTTTTAGAACACGTACTGTTAGATTTGGGCAGAACTTATACATTTCTATTAAGGAAGCATGGAAAATGGTCTACTAGTTGAAATTTGTGTTTTCCTGCTAGTCCTTTTATAACCCAAAGGTTTTTTTGGGCCTTCTTCCTCTGAGTCCCCACAGTTTGTATGGCCATCATATTGATCATCATGTGCAGATTTTGAGGTTTGATTTTTCTGGTGAAAATTTGGGCCTGGTTTTACTTGGAACTTGGTGGGAATTCCCACCCTTGTTCCCCTGACCAGCCCCTCTGTATGACATCAGCGGGCTATTGTGGTTTGTTTTGTTCTCCTGGTTCCCCCCCCCCCAAAAAAATCGTCTCAGGGTGACAACAATAGGCAAAGAACTCAACTGAAACTTGTCGAAGGTCAATGGCTTACTGATAATAGGGTACACATGGTCGAAGCCAGGTGAATATGTCTAAATTATGTTGCTCAAGTTTCTCACCAGTTCCTTGAAGTTGTCATTAAAACTGACTGTTTTCTGATTTTAGCTTCCATATCATGATAATACTTGTAGTGATCGCATTATTACATGTACATGATTTCGTTAAAGCGTGGAATTGCATTAGGTTACAATGTAGAAGTTGGTGGATTCCCAAAAATTGTATTACAAATACAAGCACATTGTCACAAATCAGATCTGTACGTGAAGCGAAATGGTTTTTGTTCCAATTAATACCAGTAGATTCATTAAAAGTTGCACAAGTGAAAGTTTTCCTGCTTTAGTTAATTTCCTGTGTTAATTGTTGTTGTTACACTCACAGTGTGACTTTCCATTTTCCATGTACCAGTAGCCTGGACAGAATTGACAGCACTGGCTATGTTTGTTGGTCGGTGCTTTGCCTTGGGGACTAGCATCTGGCCAGCCAGCAGACTAGTCGGTCAAGGACATGTGAGGGCAATTTATCTTGGCTCAGACTGGGTCAGGCTATGCCAGCAGGGCGGGCCTAAAGGGGAGTGGTGGGTCAGGCCGGGAGTGAATGGGGGCAGAGAGAACAATGGGGGAGCCTTTTCCCTAAAGAGAGGCTGTTCCTTTGAAATGAAAACATGTTGTGAGTCTTGTGGTTTGTTAAGGGTTGCCTCCTAGAAAGCAAATAGCACGACTGGTAAACATCAGTCACCAACTCCTCTAAAACTTAAAGGCTTTATCCATGGAAGAAGGAAAGCAGTTCCTCCATGCTTTATTTTGTTGGATATGTGACTAAGACCAGGTTTGTCTGATTGATTTTCGTTATGCCATGCATTTATATTTATTTCACTGAAAAAATGTAGACTACTTGTGCAGAAGTTTGTTCTCTTTTTTGCAGTGATGGACTCCGTACTAAATAGAAAGAGGGAAATCCCACAGCTAAATAATTTTTTTAAATAAATGAAAAGGAAAGAAATTCTTAAAGTTTGACTCGAGAAAAAGTTGAATAAGGCTCTGCCGAACATCCGAATAAAC